GCGTACCATCCTCTGTGACACGTTTTGTCACCAATCCTTTCAACATGGTATCAACATCCTCTACAACCTGTTTTGTCACTAATCCTTTCAACAGGTGTGTTAGTATATCCTATATTGGCTAGTGATATGGCCAAAATACTTCCCCTAAGGGTTAGGCAATTCTCTCCCCTTAGCTAGTCTTTTGGGTTGAATCAGTCTTGATGCATTTCTCTGAGATGGCTCAGTCTTGTATTGGGCTGTCTTTCAATGTCCAGGCCGGAAAACTCCTTGCTCTATAGAGTCGTGGGGATGATGGGTGTGTTTTGATACTCTTACTAAGACTTAGGCAAACCTCTCTTTTTGAGCTAGCTTTTCAGGTTTAGACTCATGCATTTCAAATACCAAGCTTGCAAGATTATTTATTAGAAAGTGTTGAATTGAACGCTTCCACATGATTGAAACTGTTAAAAGCAACAACATGTGGCAAGATGGTGTAATAGTTATTCTGGTAATTGTTTATTGGTTCCTGTGTAGGCGTCATCCAACACCAACCAGAGAGATGCTTGAACCCTTATTACAGACCGCTGCTGCAGTTGGCTTGCACTTGGATGTTTCATCATCAAAAGCATTGGCTGATTCTCTTGACCATGCTGTGGTAAATATTGTGCCTTGCATTTTTTATTAATTATTTGCGTTGTTGTTTCTTAATAATTTTCCATCAACCATAATTTTATGTTTCATGCATGATTATTAGCTATGATGCTACAATGATATCCAGCAGCATTATCTTTAATGGTTTACTTTCTTTAGCTTACAAACACATTGCTAGCTTAAGCATATGGTCTTATTTGGTTTCACTCTTGTACAAAATGCCTTTTTCAGGGCGATGATCCATACTTCAATAAGTTAATCCGTATACTGGCAACTAGGTGCATGAGTCAGGTAAATTGAATTTGAATGAGAATCCATATTTAGATTTCACAGAGTAAAATTGAGTTCTTGTTATTTTTTAGGCAGTTTATTTCTGCAGTGGGGATCTTAGCCCTCCAGAATATCATCATTATGGGCTTGCAGCTCCTTTATATACCCATTTCACATCACCTATTAGAAGATATGCAGGTAGTTATGCTAAAATTTTAATAAAATGTGTTCTTTGTCAATTGTGCACAATGTGAGATGAAACTTTTTTTTTTGTAGATGTCATTGTGCACAGGCTACTTGCTGCTTCTTTAGGAATATCAAAGTTACCGTCTGTATTTCAAGACAGACTCCAGCTCAGTAGTATTGCAGACAGTATGAAATCTCCTTCATGCTTAGAGCTTGATCATTTATGTTTCTGTTTTCAATTATGTTCAATGCCTAGAGTGAAATTTTTTCTGTGTTTACTTTATTCATTAGGAATCAAATAATAACTTCATGATTCTTATTCTTTTGTTGGGCATATATGGTTCAGATTTAAATTATCGGCACAGGAATGCCCAGCATGCGGGGCGAGCATCTGTAGAGCTACATACTCTAATTTATTTCAGGAATAGGTATGCAACATAACTTCTGCTTTCTGTTGCTGTTATTTTTATCTATACACAGTTTGCAGCCTATTCTTACCTATTTATCTTTGTTTATGCAGGCCTACAGACACGGAGGCTAGAATAGTGAAAATAAGATCTAATGGCTTTTTTGTGTTTGTTCCCAAGTAAAGTATCTTATTCGTGCCTTGCTGCTTTCTTTTTTGATTTCCTTTGTGATATATCAGTTGTAAAGGTGAACCACAAAAAAGAGGGAAGAATGTTTTTGATTTAATCTGAGCAGGAGATAGTCCTGTCAATAATGTTAACCACTGAAGAAGCTATATGTTATCTCTACTTTCGGCTAGTTTGTTATTTATAGTTTGCCTGATCCTTTCCCGTTCACAGATATGGCATAGAANGTTTCGAGAACCTCAGGGGCTGCCACCTGAGAGGAAAGTAGACCACCGAATACCCCTGAAGGAAGGAATCGAACCCGTAAGTGTCAGGCCATACTGCTACCCACATCTTATGAAAACAGAGATAGAGAGAGAAGTTGAGGAAATGCCGAAGCTCAGCATTGTTCGCCCCAACAATAGCCCATACTCAAGTCCAGTAATATTAGTGAAAAAAAAAGATGGTAGTTGGAGGTTTTGTGTGGATTACAGAGCACTTAATAGGGTCACAGTGGCGGATAAATATCCAATACCAGTTATAGAAGAATTGATGAATGAGTTACAAGGGGCAACATATTTTTCTAAGATTGATTTAAAGGCTGGATATCATCAAATCAGGATGAAAACTTAAGATATTCCTAAGACAACCTTTAGAACGCATCAAGGGCACTATGGATTTCTCGTGATGCCTTTTGGGCTGACAAACGCCCCTGCCACGTTCCAAGATATGATGAATTCTGTTCTAAGGCAGTTCTTGAGGAGGTGCGTGTTAGTTTTTTTTGATGATATATTAGTATATAGTAAGTCTTGGGATGAACATATGCAGCATTTACAACAAGTTTTGGAGGTGTTAGTACAGTAGAAATTATTTGCTAATAAAAACAAATGTGAATTTGGGAGAGAACAAATTCGTTATTTGGGGCATAAAATTTCAAAGGCAGGAGTTGAGATGGATGAGAAGGTTTCTACGGTGACGGCATGGCCTGAGCCCAAAAGTATTAGTGATTCATCTATGGGAAGATTGCTCGACCTCTCACCAACCTGCTTAAAAAGGGGAAGTTTAATTGGTCTCCTGCAGGGGCAGAGGCAATGCAAAGACTCAAAATAGCAGTAACCACGGCTCCGGTATTAGCATTACCTGATTTTGCCCAAACCTTCCAGGTGGAATGTGATGCTTCAGGCACTGGTTTAGGAGCAGTTCTGTCTCAGAACAAAAAACTGATTGCTTATTTTAGCAAGGCTCTATCAGAAGTGTCACTCACCAAATCGGTCTATGAGAAGGAATTGATGGCTTTGGTGTTAGCTATCCAACACTGGCGACCCTACCTTTTGGGCCAAAGGTTTGTTGTTTATACTGACCAGAGGAGCTTGAGATATTTGTTGGAGCAACGTATTACTACTCAAAACCAGTAGAACTGGCTGGCTAAATTGCTGGCATATATAGGACGGGGGCATCCAATAAGGTGGCGGATGGGCTCTCAAGGAAAGGGGAGGAATTGGAGGAGGAAGAAAAAGTGCTGCAAATGATATCCAGACCGATTTGGCCAGAGTTTCAGGATTTAATGGAGGAGGTGGAGAGGGATGCTAGTCTGAAAAAAATTATGGAGGAATTAAAAGCTGATCCAAATTCTCATTCGGCTTACACAATGGAGAATGGGAGATTACATTATAAAGGGAAGCTAGTCCTCTCTGCCCAATCGAAGTGGATACCTAAACTGTTAGCAGAATTTCACAACACGTTGATGGGAGGGCACTCGGTAGTTTATAGAACGTACAAGAGGATGGAACAGTCTCTCCTTTGGGTGGGCATGAAGAAGACTGTAACAGAATATGTGGCTGCTTGCTTAGTTTGTCAACAACATAAGTATTTAGCATCTTCTTCCCAAGGACTTCTTCAGCCACTTCCTATTCCTAAGGCGATATGGGAGGAAATTAGCATCGATTTTGTGGTGAAACTCCCAAAATCCCAAGGATATGATGCGATATTGGTAGTAGTGGATAGGCTGAGTAAATATGGCCATTTTATTCCCATCAAACACTCCTACACGGCCAAATCTATAGCAGAAATTTTTGTGAAGGAGGTGATCAGACTTCACGGGATTCTGCTATCTATTGTGAGTGATAGAGACCCTACTTTCATCAGTCTATTCTTGAAAGAACTCTTCAAGTTGCAGCGAACACAACTTTCTATGAGCACCGCTTATCATCCAGAAACGGATGGGCAAACCGAGGTCTTAAACCGGGTGTTGGAAACATATTTACACTGTTTTAGCTCTGAACAACCCAAGGTTTGGTGTAGTGTCCTACCATGGGCAGAATATTGGTACAACACCAGTTACCAAGGAGCCTCTAAATGCACACCTTTTGAGTCCGTTTATGGGAGACCAGCACCAACCATCACAAGATACGTACTAGGCGAGACAGGAGTGGAAGCAGTCGCTCAGGATCTGCAAAACAGTGACGAAGCACTGAAACAGTTGCGGTATCATCTCGCAAGGGCCTAGGATCAGATGACCTATATTATTAAGAAAAGAAAGGCAGCCATGATAAAGGAAGGAGATTGGGTCTTCCTTAAAATCAGACCCCATAGGCAAGTTTCTATGCCTACAAAATTACATCCCAAATTGTCAGCACGTTATTATGGACCATTTTTGGTGGAAAAACGAGTAGGACCACTAGCTTTCAAGCTGCAGCTACCTGAAACAGCGAGAATACACCAAGTATTCCATGTTTCACTGTTGAAAATTGCTATTGGTGCACATCATGTTGAAGGCACACTACTAGTAGAACTGCAGGCTGATCAACATGTGTATCGACCAATGAAAGTCCTCCAAAAACGAACCATACAACACCAAAGAAAGGAGCTAGCCCAAGTGTTAATACAATGGCAAGAAGGTGGATTGGAGGGTGCTACTTGGAAGAAGTGCAGTATATCAAACAACAGTTTCCAAATTTCAACCTTGAGGACAAGGTTGATGTTGAGGAAGCGGGTAATGTTAGGAAGTTGCAAGTTTATGTAAGAAGGAATAAAAGGGGAGGGAAGTAAATAGCGGGAAAGGTTGTTAGTTTGTTAGGGGGGGAGAGAGAGAGTATAAAATAAAAGTTGAGTTGTTGAGGAGGGTATCAGATATTATTTTGGGTTTAGACTGGACCCCTTGGCCAGTGGAGGAAGGAAGGCTTCCTTGGGAGAGATCTATACTTGTATTTTTCTTTCTACACATTACAGAGGAAATAAAAATACACATACATACAGTTTCTTTTCTACTATTGAGTGTGTGAGTGAGAATAGAAGCTGCTGTTCGGTTCCTTGAATAAAGGAACCTAACAGTTTTGCAAGGGTTTCTTTTATGAAAACATTTTCTATGTCTCAACTGAAGTTATCGGAGGATGCACTTAAGTGCTTGCATCTCTGAACAATTCATTAATGTCCATCCTTTATGGATGCTGCTTTATCCTCTGGTTCTCTTTGCTTCATTATTTTTTCCATCCTTTTCCCATGTCTTCTCATTCTCCTCCTAGCTCTTGCTGTGATCCCTTTAAATTGTTCATCTTTAATGAATTTTTGTCAGATATTGCTGATGTTACAAATTTTGTTCATCCTGGTACTCCACTTGATGATGAGGCTTCCCAGAGGGGTACATCTGTCTACCTTGTGGAGCGGCGTATAGACATGCTTCCCAAACCTCTTACGGAGGGTAATATCATTTAACCTTCTTTTAACTTTGAAAAAATGGGATGGCTGTGGTTCTATATTCTTTTTCCTTATTGATAAACCTTTATCTGGCAGACATATGTTCACTTCGTTCTGATGTGGAAAGGCTCGCATTCTCTGTCATTTGGGTATGTGCACTGACATAGTTTTACTATGATTAAATTTACTGTCATGTATATATTTTTGTACTCACCTGTGCATAAGTATGGGGTAAATATTATTATCTGGTTGTTGAATCTTCTAAATATTTACCAAAGAATCACAAACATCACTTAAATATTTCAAGTTCCATTTTTTTGTTCAAAGTTTTGGTACTCCACATTGTACTTCTGCTATGCTTTTTTTTACCTCATTGTTGCAACATTACTTCACTTCTCACTGAATGTCCACAATAAACCTCATTTACAAAACATGCAACCACCACATGACTGTTTTTTTTTTTTTGCTTTCTTGTCTACATTGAACACTAAAATTTAGATTCACAAGTGCCACTTCACCCATTTTTATTGAGATTATCTTCACCATTTTTGTTGTCTGCATTGTGTTGTGTAATATTCCTTTTATTCCAACTTCTATTACTACCTTCCCCATCCACACTTCATTATTATCACATTATTACTGCTATTACCATCATGTTATCACATTATTACAGACAGCCATAATTCACCATTTCCGTTCTCTTTTCTTTTATCATGGCTTTATAATTTTAATTGAATTGGCGCAATATTGCTAAAGAACATGTAATGCAGGCATTACAAACAAGGTTCCTTTGTTTAAGCTTTTAAAAAAATGATTTGTCTGTGTAATTCTTTTTTGGCATTTTAGAGTGTGGATATTTACTTTTCAAGATGATAAATTAGTGTATTTTGTTGCCATCTGCAACCCTTATCAGTTATTGCTGGCATATCTCTAGGGTATCGTGTGTGCATAATGCTGAAAGTGCATATCAAGCATTTATATTAATTATTTGATATTCTTCAAGATTATTTTAGCTACTCTCTTTAATAATATGATTACAGCATAGAGTAAATATTCCTAAAGGATGTCAACTGAAGCAATTTATGTTTAACTACTCTTCATTTTCTTCTCTATATTGAACTTAAATGAATTACTTGTGTTCAGGAAATGACACCTGAAGCGGACGTAATTTCCACCAGATATACAAAAAGTGTCATAAAATCTTCTGCAGCATTGTCTTATGTTGAAGCACAAGCAAGGATGGATGATAGGTGTGCTTTTATTTCTCTCAGATCCTTTGTAAAATGAAATGGCTGAGGTGTGTCTTTAATTAGCACTCAGTCATAATCTAGACTGGAATGAGATACTGATGTTTCTTTTCTGTGATTCTGTTATTTCAGAGTATATTTGTGCTTTAATTACTTATGAAATGTTAATCTTGTAAATTAGACAAAATCACGAGTTAGAAGGAGTGTATTATTCATATCAAACCAAAGACGGCATTCATGTTGTTCAAACTGTTTGTTGATTGATACTTTGTTCAAATTTTTATGTGCTTAGATGGTCATTTTCTTGTGGACTGCTAAATGTTCCGTCTACTGTATTACATTGTGTGAGGCAATATTATTTTCATCAAGTAATTTAGTCACTGTTTTTATGTCCTCTTTGTACAGTCGTCTGAGGGATCCCATTACTACAGATTTGAGGAATATGAATAGTTTAGCTAAGGTATGGATTCTGTGGACGCAGGCTTATTGTTCTACTCTTGCAATTATAAGTTTGGCTATATTTGCTTGCTATTATATAAGGAACTATTTGAAAAGTATAGCTTTGTGTATGATCTATCAGAAAATGCGATTGAGGCGCATTGAGAGAGGAGCTTTGACTCTTGCATCTGCTGAAGTCAAATTTCAAATTGACACAGAGACTCATGACCCTCTTGATATTGGTACCATATTCTTGCTTTTTATTAGTATTTTTTATTTCTTTTCAATGTTGTGAAAGGTGGGGAATTGTGTATACTTATTGAATATGAAGTTCTGCTGGTGTCATTATATTATTCATTCTATGGGATTAAATCATTTGGACAAGGGACATATCAGGTCTATGATTAAACCATTTTTATTAGCAGACCTTGAATAAATGATCTGTATTTATGAATTCGCTGAAGGATGTTAGATCTCTTTCAATATATGTTCTCCATTTTGATCCATGCTAAAACTTTTTACTTTAAAGCTGTTGTCTAGGTCCTTGTTTTGGAATAATGTTTTGTGAACCCATTTTTGTACATACTGGTGAGATCTCATGAATATAGATTTTAGAATTTATGTCTCAATTAACTTTACTGCTTGACAATGTAATTCGTAACTCCACACACACAATGTTAGCGTGATAGAAACTGGTTATGATACTAAGGATGGAATGTATTTTATTAAGAATACCCGTGGAGTTTTGAGAGTTTCAAGTCTCCCCAACTACTTTACTAATTCCCTCACAATGAATGACTCCCCCCTCTACCCTTCTTCCTATTTATATACATCATTCGTAACCCAATAACTAAACAAGGCCCTTAACTAACAGACATGTCAGAGTGACATGTTAAGTATTATATTGTCTTTAAATTATTTTTTGTTGGTAAGTTGTTAGCATTCTTGATTTATACTTTTGTATAACAATTCGAAGTCTAATTTTATTGTTGAAATATATTTCTCTTTTTCTCATTTCTTCTATTCTCTAAAATTTCAAACAGTAATTGATTTGTTTTTTTAAAGTATGTTTCGGTGTCCATACAGTTAATTGGATATTTTACAAGGAAGAGTGCCTGGGCTGATGGTTTTCTTTTTACTTTGCTTTTAGATATTCCTTCATGGAAGGAGAGGGAGAGAGCAGTTTTTTTCCTCCCTTTATGTTTCTTAAAATTATTTTTTCTGTTTGAATTTATGTGCAGGAATGTATCAGATCAGGGAGGCCAACCAAATGGTGGAGGAGTTTATGCTTGCTGCTAATGTTTCCGTTGCACAACAAATTCTTAAAAGTTTTTCGTTATGCTCATTATTAAGGTCTCTTTTTTTTTTTTTTTTTTAAATTTAGTTTTGATATGGTGTTTTCTTGGGAGGGGTTTCCTTTATTTGTCTGCTAAGTGGTTTACTATATATCTAAATTCTAATCCCCTTTTGTTATTTTGCGTGTTTTTTGTCCTGCTTTTCTTTGTTTGTTTTTATCCATGTCAATTATTGGAATTCAATTTTTGAATTGAGGATTACAAGTGCAATTCAATATGCAATTAGAACCATAAATAGTTTTGATTGCACAAAAATATTTTTCTGTAAGAGATTTTATGCCAGCGCAGCACCCAAGAGAGACACTCCAGAAATGACCTATATTGTCTAGATGTACAGTCGTGGGCCTGAATGTTGTTAGAGATAGGTTGATTAAAAAATCTTACCAAATATATCTGATTATTATATATTGATTTTGTTCCTTATTATTGTATTTCTTCTGTACTATTAATATTCTACCTCAATTTCTCTCTTCTCAACATGGTATTTAGAGCGTACCATCCTCTGTGACACGTTTTGTCACCAATCCTTTCAACATGGTATCAACATCCTCTACAACCTGTTTTGTCACTAATCCTTTCAACAGGTGTGTTAGTATATCCTATATTGGCTAGTGATATGGCCAAAATACTTCCCCTAAGGGTTAGGCAATTCTCTCCCCTTAGCTAGTCTTTTGGGTTGAATCAGTCTTGATGCATTTCTCTGAGATGGCTCAGTCTTGTATTGGGCTGACTTTCAATGTCCAGGCCGGAAAACTCCTTGCTCTATAGAGTCGTGGGGATGATGGGTGTGTTTTGATACTCTTACTAAGACTTAGGCAAACCTCTCTTTTTGAGCTAGCTTTTCAGGTTTAGACTCATGCATTTCAAATACCAAGCTTGCAAGATTATTTATTAGAAAGTGTTGAATTGAACGCTTCCACATGATTGAAACTGTTAAAAGCAACAACATGTGGCAAGATGGTGTAATAGTTATTCTGGTAATTGTTTATTGGTTCCTGTGTAGGCGTCATCCAACACCAACCAGAGAGATGCTTGAACCCTTATTACAGACCGCTGCTGCAGTTGGCTTGCACTTGGATGTTTCATCATCAAAAGCATTGGCTGATTCTCTTGACCATGCTGTGGTAAATATTGTGCCTTGCATTTTTTATTAATTATTTGCGTTGTTGTTTCTTAATAATTTTCCATCAACCATAATTTTATGTTTCATGCATGATTATTAGCTATGATGCTACAATGATATCCAGCAGCATTATCTTTAATGGTTTACTTTCTTTAGCTTACAAACACATTGCTAGCTTAAGCATATGGTCTTATTTGGTTTCACTCTTGTACAAAATGCCTTTTTCAGGGCGATGATCCATACTTCAATAAGTTAATCCGTATACTGGCAACTAGGTGCATGAGTCAGGTAAATTGAATTTGAATGAGAATCCATATTTAGATTTCACAGAGTAAAATTGAGTTCTTGTTATTTTTTAGGCAGTTTATTTCTGCAGTGGGGATCTTAGCCCTCCAGAATATCATCATTATGGGCTTGCAGCTCCTTTATATACCCATTTCACATCACCTATTAGAAGATATGCAGGTAGTTATGCTAAAATTTTAATAAAATGTGTTCTTTGTCAATTGTGCACAATGTGAGATGAAACTTTTTTTTTTGTAGATGTCATTGTGCACAGGCTACTTGCTGCTTCTTTAGGAATATCAAAGTTACCGTCTGTATTTCAAGACAGACTCCAGCTCAGTAGTATTGCAGACAGTATGAAATCTCCTTCATGCTTAGAGCTTGATCATTTATGTTTCTGTTTTCAATTATGTTCAATGCCTAGAGTGAAATTTTTTCTGTGTTTACTTTATTCATTAGGAATCAAATAATAACTTCATGATTCTTATTCTTTTGTTGGGCATATATGGTTCAGATTTAAATTATCGGCACAGGAATGCCCAGCATGCGGGGCGAGCATCTGTAGAGCTACATACTCTAATTTATTTCAGGAATAGGTATGCAACATAACTTCTGCTTTCTGTTGCTGTTATTTTTATCTATACACAGTTTGCAGCCTATTCTTACCTATTTATCTTTGTTTATGCAGGCCTACAGACACGGAGGCTAGAATAGTGAAAATAAGATCTAATGGCTTTTTTGTGTTTGTTCCCAAGTAAAGTATCTTATTCGTGCCTTGCTGCTTTCTTTTTTAATTTCCTTTGTGATATATCAGTTGTAAAGGTGAACCACAAAAAAGAGGGAAGAATGTTTTTGATTTAATCTGAGCAGGAGATAGTCCTGTCAATAATGTTAACCACTGAAGAAGCTATATGTTATCTCTACTTTCGGCTAGTTTGTTATTTATAGTTTGCCTGATCCTTTCCCGTTCACAGATATGGCATAGAAGGACCTATATATTTGACAAAAGCCAGAAAGGGAAATGGAGAATGGTATGTAGATGAGCAACAGCAGAAAATAAAAAGGATGGATGGTAGCCTTTCATACAGCGTTTTGCAGACAGTCCAAATTCACATGGAGGTTGTGGAGCCTCAACCTAACCGTCCCAAACTTCAGCTTACTCTCATCTAGAGGTATAAGATCACTGAACAACAGGCATGGCTCAAATATAACTGCTATTTACGATTGCCATTTGCTTCTGAGCACTATTAAGGAAGGAATTGACTGGCATGAAAAAGTTGTGTAAGAGACGTACATGAGAAAATTTGGTTAGAGAAATTTTTGTTAGATGGAACNGTGAACCACAAAAAAGAGGGAAGAATGTTTTTGATTTAATCTGAGCAGGAGATAGTCCTGTCAATAATGTTAACCACTGAAGAAGCTATATGTTATCTCTACTTTCGGCTAGTTTGTTATTTATAGTTTGCCTGATCCTTTCCCGTTCACAGATATGGCATAGAAGGACCTATATATTTGACAAAAGCCAGAAAGGGAAATGGAGAATGGTATGTAGATGAGCAACAGCAGAAAATAAAAAGGATGGATGGTAGCCTTTCATACAGCGTTTTGCAGACAGTCCAAATTCACATGGAGGTTGTGGAGCCTCAACCTAACCGTCCCAAACTTCAGCTTACTCTCATCTAGAGGTATAAGATCACTGAACAACAGGCATGGCTCAAATATAACTGCTATTTACGATTGCCATTTGCTTCTGAGCACTATTAAGGAAGGAATTGACTGGCATGAAAAAGTTGTGTAAGAGACGTACATGAGAAAATTTGGTTAGAGAAATTTTTGTTAGATGGAACTCAAGGTTTATATGGTTGATGAGGTGGGCACTTTTAGTTTTTACAACTATTTACATTTAAATTAGAAGTAAAATTTTTAAACTTCATGCTGCAAACGTGGACGCTCCAAGTGAAAAGGATGTGTTTAGCTGCGCCGATAATGTATTTGTATAGAATATCACAACTATTACATGAAAAAATGTGGAATCATTCAAGAGACTTCGGAGTTCAGTTCTTGTAGAGAATTTTCCAAAATTATTTTCTCACCAGCTATACATTACCCATTTTGCTTTTACTATATATTATGATCAACTGGATCCGGAAGTCATGGTTGTCTGTAATGTACTGCTCTTAGGTGTATGCGAATTATTACACAGTGAGAGTTATATGCCGGGATCTGGTAGTGAAGAGTTTATGAGCAAGTTATTGTGTGCTTGAAACAGGAAAAAACAAGTGGTATGTAAAGAAACATGTATAATTTTTATTTTCTTGGAAGTATGAACACAGGTCACATACAGAGACAGCAGTCAAATTTCTAATGATTTGATTGTTTAGAGGAGAAAGTGGAAATACCGGGGATGAAAGAGATAGAGTGAAATCATGTAGTAGTTTTGCATGCTATTTTCTTTTACCTTTTTATTAATATTTTTCTATCTTTTTTAGTTCTTTATGTTTTACTTAAGTCTCTTATTTTATTTCTGATTTTTATTTCTTATTTACCATTATTTCTTTACCATTATTTCTTCTCACTAAACAGACCTAGACATCAACATTTGTCATGCTATTCCCTTTCCTTCCTGATAATTTTGTTTTATTAATATTGCGATCAACATAAATAAAAAAAGAACGTATGTTTTCATTTCGATTCTGTTCATTTTTGTTTGTATGGATATGTAGATATAGATGTATAAAATTAAATAATATACTATTTATCTAATGTATTTATTGTGTACAGTGGTATATTTTTTGATACCTTGCATCCTTAAGTTACTTTCGAAGTATCTGACATATTTTTTCTTCTTTAGCTTTCTTCTTTTTTAGTGAGGTTCAACTTCTCCTTTGACTTTCATTTTTTTTCATCTTGTTTGAAACTTTTTTAATTTTCGTTCATCTTCGATTATGTATACGTCTTTGTTTATCATCTTTTGAATTTTGATATTAATTTTTATTATATCTTAACTTAATTTTGAATTTTGGTTTATAAAAATATTTATAGATTTCAAAATCAGATTTAGAAAATTGTCGAATTTTAAAATTTGATTTTGGAAATTCATTGAATTTCAAAATCTGATCTAGAGAACTCATTGCATTTTGAAATTTTGATTACAAAATTCATCAGATTTCAAAATCTATTTAAGAAAATTTACCAGATTTTGAAACGCGGTTAAACTTTTCCTCAAATTTTGAAATTTGTTTAAGCTTTGTCTTGGATTTTGAAATTTGGTTAAACTTTCTTCCAAATTTTGAAACTATTAATTCTAGTAATTTTTGTTTTCTTTAATTTTTTTAATTTGTTTTGCTTGTTTTGTTTTATGAATTTTTTGATTCTCACTTATTATTATTATTATTAAACAAGTAAGGTATTTTATAGGAATGTCATGTTATAGATAATTACATTTAAAATGGAAGATTATTCTTTAGGTTTTATGGAATCAAAAGTAAACTTCAATTTTATGATAGATTTTTCTTTTTTTATAAATGAAATCTACAAGAGAGATTACATAAATAACTTTACAATTGATGAATTTCTCCTACATGTGATAAGTTAACTTTGTGGGTTTTAGGAAATACTTTTGATATTAGTTTTGTTATGTTCATTGTAAGATCTGATAAAACTAATAGTCAACCTAGGAGAAAGATGTAGTATTGTTAGGATGTGAAAGGAGTGAAAAGTACATGAAATACAAATATGACCTTCAACTTAGTATATCTGGCACAAAAAAATGTGATGGTCCTTTTAGATTGAGAAACAAACTAAATTCTAATCGAGAATGGTGAGTATTGAATTCAATGTATGAATATCATAACCAAGATTTGTCACAAACTTTAGTTGGTCACCCTTTTGTTGGGAGATTAAAATCTATTAAACACTCATTGCTTGTTAATACGATTAAGAGTCAAATGAAGTATGCAAAAATTCTTCTTACTCTCAAAGAAAATTATGAATGTAATGTTGCAACAATCAAATAAGTATGTTGTTGAATATAGTAAAAACTATGTATGAGATTAATCTTCCTTGTGTTGAATATACACACATAGGGTCATCTATTTATAATAGAAGAAATATGAGCTAAATCCAAAATACAAATAAGAAATAATAACAAACTAACTAAAGATAAAAGATAAATATAAAGTAAAGATAATATATCTAACACTCCTCTCAAGCTAGTGCATAAAATNGAAGAAGCTATATGTTATCTCTACTTTCGGCTAGTTTGTTATTTATAGTTTGCCTGATCCTTTCCCGTTCACAGATATGGCATAGAAGGACCTATATATTTGACAAAAGCCAGAAAGGGAAATGGAGAATGGTATGTAGATGAGCAACAGCAGAAAATAAAAAGGATGGATGGTAGCCTTTCATACAGCGTTTTGCAGACAGTCCAAATTCACATGGAGGTTGTGGAGCCTCAACCTAACCGTCCCAAACTTCAGCTTACTCTCATCTAGAGGTATAAGATCACTGAACAACAGGCATGGCTCAAATATAACTGCTATTTACGATTGCCATTTGCTTCTGAGCACTATTAAGGAAGGAATTGACTGGCATGAAAAAGTTGTGTAAGAGACGTACATGAGAAAATTTGGTTAGAGAAATTTTTGTTAGATGGAACTCAAGGTTTATATGGTTGATGAGGTGGGCACTTTTAGTTTTTACAACTATTTACATTTAAATTAGAAGTAAAATTTTTATACTTCATGCTGCAAACGTGGACGCTCCAAGTGAAAAGGATGTGTTTAGCTGCGCCGATAATGTATTTGTATAGAATATCACAACTATTACATGAAAAAATGTGGAATCATTCAAGAGACTTCGGAGTTCAGTTCTTGTAGAGAATTTTCCAAAATTATTTTCTCACCAGCTATACATTACCCATTTTGCTTTTACTATATATTATGATCAACTGGATCCGGAAGTCATGGTTGTCTGTAATGTACTGCTCTTAGGTGTATGCGAATTATTACACAGTGAGAGTTATATGCCGGGATCTGGTAGTGAAGAGTTTATGAGCAAGTTATTGTGTGCTTGAAACAGGAAAAAACAAGTGGTATGTAAAGAAACATGTATAATTTTTATTTTCTTGGAAGTATGAACACAGGTCACATACAGAGACAGCAGTCAAATTTCTAATGATTTGATTGTTTAGAGGAGAAAGTGGAAATACCGGGGATGAAAGAGATAGAGTGAAATCATGTAGTAGTTTTGCATGCTATTTTCTTTTACCTTTTTATTAATATTTTTCTATCTTTTTTAGTTCTTTATGTTTTACTTAAGTCTCTTATTTTATTTCTGATTTTTATTTCTTATTTACCATTATTTCTTTACCATTATTTCTTCTCACTAAACAGACCTAGACATCAACATTTGTCATGCTATTCCCTTTCCTTCCTGATAATTTTGTTTTATTAATATTGCGATCAACATAAATAAAAAAAGAACGTTTGTTTTCATTTCGATTCTGTTCATTTTTGTTTGTATGGATATGTAGATATAGATGTATAAAATTAAATAATATACTATTTATCTAATGTATTTATTGTGTACAGTGGTATATTTTTTGATACCTTGCATCCTTAAGTTACTTTCGAAGTATCTGACATATTTTTTCTTCTTTAGCTTTCTTCTTTTTTAGTGAGGTTCAACTTCTCCTTTGACTTTCATTTTTTTTCATCTTGTTTGAAACTTTTTTAATTTTCGTTCATCTTCGATTATGTATACGTCTTTGTTTATCATCTTTTGAATTTTGATATTAATTTTTATTATATCTTAACTTAATTTTGAATTTTGGTTTATAAAAATATTTATAGATTTCAAAATCAGATTTAGAAAATTGTCGAATTTTAAAATTTGATTTTGGAAATTCATTGAATTTCAAAATCTGATCTAGAGAACTCATTGCATTTTGAAATTTTGATTACAAAATTCATCAGATTTCAAAATCTATTTAAGAAAATTTACCAGATTTTGAAACGCGGTTAAACTTTTCCTCAAATTTTGAAATTTGTTTAAGCTTTGTCTTGGATTTTGAAATTTGGTTAAACTTTCTTCCAAATTTTGAAACTATTAATTCTAGTAATTTTTGTTTTCTTTAATTTTTTTAATTTGTTTTGCTTGTTTTGTTTTATGAATT